ATAAGTCGAAAGGAGACTGCGACCATACCCGAGGCCACAACATCTTGGTCTTCACATCTTCAAATTACTATAGTAAAATTGCCAGACAATGCACTGAATACAGCCGGACAAAGAAGACAATTGTAAGTCAATCTTCCCATCTGACTTTATTAGACTGTTGTATATGTTGTGGTATCACTCCTAACTTCTGTGACGCTAAGAGACCCTAACATTCGGATATGGTTAATGAGTATCTCCACCAGGCTTCTATTCAGAAACTAAGTGAAACTTATGATACAGAGAAGAATAAGCTATTTAAGTTTATAGAAATTAAATCAAAGCTCCGGAGTGATCTGCCAGGATCCTGACTCCGGAAGACTTTCAAAAACTGCAGAGCATGACCGACACGAAATCATGTAGGATTTCTGATTTAATAACAAACCTGCAAGACGATAAATTGCCTAAATTTGACATTATTAGATAGTCTAAGTCAAAGCCAGTACGCACAGTTGAAATGGCTTCCGAGGTGACAACAGCTATTGATCAACACGGCGATCAGAAAAAAGTATTTACCTTATCATCAATTCCTCTTAATCCCGAAATAATCACCTTCCTGGAAAAAAGACTCAATTTTTCAATTCAACATGATAGAAGCCTTCTAGGGGACATCCTGGTGGAGGTTATAAATATCGCCGACAAGTTCCCTGAGGAGACAAAACGGAAAATGTAGATGGAACTAATTCCAAAGATCTTGACACATCAAGAGCCAACACACAGTAAAATATTTGCCAGAATACGCAAAACTCTGAAAATAAATAAACAATTAGTCCTTCAGGCGGATAAAGGAGGAGCGACAGTGAGAATGGACAAAAAACAATATACTGAGAAGGTGTATTATATTTAACGATACAGGACCACTTATCGTATACGAAAGAAGGAGCAAACTATGAATACCGATGGAAGTGACATGCTGAAAGATATGCATAGGAACTGGGAAATTGACGCATGAACAAGAAATTCAATCATAAGAAAGGATACACGACCACCAAAAGCCTACGGATTACCAAAGATATACAAAGAAGGTGAACCACTAAGGCTGATATTCAACAACAAGTATGGAGCAATACAAAAATGGGCTTGACACTCAAGTAATTAAATGAGGGCTATCAAATACGGTGAAACATTCATATGAATGTTCTCAAAAATCTAAAACATGGCACTGGAAGAAACGAACTTATCGGTAAGTTTCTATGTGGAATCCATGTATGCAAATATCTCTAGAGAAAATGGGCTAACGGCCCTGCTAGAAATCCTGGACCGAGATGAGGATATCCTCGAATCACAACGGATCAGGAGGGAGTCATTAACAAGACTAATCAACTTGACAATAAAGACAACCTATTTTAAATTCAATGGGAACATCTATGAACAAATATTGACTTCCCATGGGATCACCGCTCTCACCACTTTTGGCTAATGTATACATGAACAAAATAGAAGAGAGCTTCAAGATGACACCGCTACAACCTGCAGTGCTCATTTGGTACCTGGATTATTACTTTGCACTTTGGTCACATGGAAGAGAAAAACTCTAAGAGTTTTTGAAGTTTGTAAACCAGATTTATGGGAAAATTGAATTAACGATGAAAATAGAGGAAGATGAGCGAGTACCGCTCCTGGATTTTGAAGTGATTCGCTCTAATGAGACACTCAAGAAGAAATTGTTCAGAAAAAATGTCTTATGCCGAAATAATACTAAATTTTCAGTCCCATCACAATTACAGGCGAAAGATAGGAATAATGAGGAGCATGATCATCCGAAGCCTACGCCTAAAAGATGAAGAATTCTGGGACGAGGAGCTGGACAAATTGACGAGGATATTCCTCGGCAATGTCTACACAATCGAAGTGATACAAAAAAACATACGGGCGGTAAAAAGCCGATGGCAGAACGAGGATTATTAAAGAACAATAAGGACGATGGAGGACTCACCAAAGTGGATATGCCTACCTTCCTGCGAACTAACTCAAAAACTACGTCCAATATTGAGTTAATGGAATATTCAAGTGGTCATGAAAGAAAAATCAACAATTTTCACAAGTCTACCAACGCAACATCAAAGTGTAGACAAATTGGATTGTCCAGGAGTTTACGGTATATCATGCAGCGCCTGCGATCAGAAATATATTGGCGAAACAGGGAGAAAAATTAGCACACGAATAAAGGAACGTCAACAACTTTGCAGGAAAATGGAAACCGAAAGATCAGAATTAGCGGAACACACTGCACAGACTGGACACGAGATCAATCGGAAGGCAACAGAAAGAAGAGCCTCATACGGTGAAAACACAAAGAAGCGGAATATTAGGGAGGCCATTGACATTCTTGGGGAGAAAAATATAATGAACAGGAGATTGGGGGAAGGTAGATTTAGCGATAACTTAGCCTACTGCTTAAGCAAACTCAGAGAAAACAAGTATACAAGACCAGCAATAAGGAGACATTTTTATCAGGGATCTATCGCTAACCGGAGGAAAAGAGATCGCGATGAAGAAAGGGGAAGCGGTAATTTTTGGCAATCAAGTGAAGACGTTATCAGTGCGTGATGACTTTTAAAATAAACCAGTACAACTTTGGGGGCCCGGCAGTCAGGGAGCTAGGCGTACGGATAAGCAAACCGTCACTGAAATGCGGCGTTATGGCCAAAATGTATCAGAAATCCACTTGAGATGTCGCATGCGACCGGAGATAGGCGTCCACAGTTGGCTCAGATAACACGGGTTTAATCAAGAAGAGGACCCGTGAAAGGAAGGCCTGATGCATACAAACATGGCAATCAGAGCTTAGGCGCTCTGCTCGGTGAGGCGGCAGTGTACGTGTTTCTAGGGCTTTAAGAAATAGCGTCTGGAGTGAAATGCACACTGATACTGGAACCGAGTGAAATCTGTCAACCAGAAAGATAAGGAACGGGTCTACGAGACAATGAGCGGATCCGGATTGGAGACCCGAGTCGGATCAGTCGATCGAAAGAGAGGGGGTTGGGGTGAATAGCAGTTATGATAAGGCCACACTAAATTTGCCAAAAAATGGACGCCCATTTTGACGAGTGGAATGTTAATAAGTCAGAAGCTGTGCTAGGGCAGGAGTTGGATAAGAGAATAAAGATTTGAGAGATGGTCCAGGACAGAAAGAGGAGTGATTGTGTAACCGTTTTCGGCAGAACGTTTGTCGAGGGATTGACTTCACTTGTCTCTTTGACGACTTCGTAGCTTGGTGCGGAGAACGGCAGCACTCATTGATGACGCCGACTACGATGCAGGCGAAACGTTTGAGAATGTACCAAGTCCACTGTCTGATGCTGGGAATTATGATAAACACTGGCAGACGACTTCGGACTAGGTGCGTTCTACATAGTCGCCCTGGCAACAAGACCAAGTTGCGACAACGAGGAGACTAGGTGCGTTCTACTAAGTCGCCCTGACAACAAGACCAAGTTGCGACAACGAGGTCGACCCACTTCTGTTTGCTTTTGAGATAACATAAATTTGGTGCATGTTCAATTGCAGATTAATGTTTCATTGTGGATGATGCCACTGTACATCCTAATTAATTGACACCTAATATTCGATGGTTAATTCTTATTCCACCTTATCTCCAAGTTCTGCGCTTAAATGTCTAAATGCATATAGGCAGCCATACTTCTCCAATGACCCCGAAAATATAGTTTAATTAATTTGCAAATGAATATAATTGGTATTGCTGTAAAGTTTAAGAGCTCAAAATTACCTGTACGAGATGCTGGTACCCGCCAATCTTGAATGTATTTTTTCATAATTCTAACTCAAAGTGTCCTGTCTCTGAATATCACTGTTGCAAGCTGCTTCCAATAATGTTGAACAAAATAGTGATCCCAGCTAATTTTGTGGCATCATTACCAGGGCTCCTCTTTTTTACTTAATAGGAAAAATTAGTATATTCTATGGTCTACATTTGTTTCGCACACATTATGGTCAGAAAAACCTCTAAATGAATCAAGATATTGATAGTTTCGTACAGAAAATTGCAAAGAACATGACACCGTGCCAAGGTGGTTATATTTTGATAAAAATCACCTCAGATAGTAAGGCTTTAAGATATGTGCAATACTAGTAGCTCTTCTAGGCCTAGTAATGCTTATTCCCACATATTTATTATTTTTTTAACCAAAATCTGAAAACCTATAACCCTTACCGATACCCTCCCGGGCACGTTTCCATCATATGTCTCATAGGCCATATTGGCCATTCCGCCGTCCAGCGAGCTCCAAAACTTTCCTGTGTTTACGAAACCTGGTGGTAGCCCGAGAGGAATGTTGCCCCAGCCGATGAAGCCGCCATTGTTTAAATTTCCTGAGTCGAGATAAGAGAAGTATTCGTCGATCAACGTGTCGGGCAGGCTGTAAGTCCAACAACAGGTAGAGCCGAATAGGAACCAAGAGGAGAGAAACGCAGTGGCCACAGCCATCCAGGCCAAAATATAGCCAACAGTGAAGGTGAAACGAGTGTTGGTTTTATGCATCTACATTTTGTAAAAAACGAACGATAGAGGCATGAGGGAAGGAAGAATTAACTATGAGATATATGGAGTGTATATTAGTGGTTTAACCACGGTTTCGCAACTTGATCGTATTATCAGGGAGACAAAGATGAATACACCTTGTCCGAATTCCTCTGCCGTAGTATCCATGAGCATTTCGAGCATTTTATCCTGGGAATGTATCAAGTCTACGGTCCGAAGCTGGAAATTATCATCGATGTTATCGTAGAGGACTCCGGCTAAGGTGCGCTCATGGAGGTTCCCTTGACAATATGACCAAGTTACGAAAACGAGGTTAAACAACTTCTGTAAAATAAGATTACCATGGTAATTTATTTCAAAGAGCATTAAATGAAAAAGACCCACGAAGTAAGTGCCATATGAATTACTAATTCTATCCTCGCAAAGAAATTAAACTTTATTTTATTTAGGGAAACTTATTACTGATGACATCGAAATGAAAAGATTCTTGAAAAACTAGGACTAAAATAAATTAAGCAGACGATAAATATTTGCACCCTAATGATTCAATTGTCGGGAATCAAATACCAAATATACAATTAAAAACGCATTTTCTCTCAAATTAGAGGTGATAAGGCACATTTACCCGAATGATTGCGAGTTTAAGTCACATAAATCCGTCCTATTATGCTCACATCACAGGATTTTTCAAATACTCCGATCCTGAAATTCTTATCATTTGAGTGGCGATTAATTCGTTAACCGCTTTAATAGTTATCTCATGGGAAGGAAATAAAACAGCAACATTTCAATAGCGTCACCTCTGGCCATTGGGCGAAGTCGAAACGCAGATAGGAGGTCTTCTTCTCCTTCTCATATTCCAAAACGATGTGAAACAGAAGCATGGCGAGTAGAAAGGAAAAAGCTAAAAATACAAGAATAATTTAATATGCAATGATATATATGGTTTTTAGGCAGACAAAATTAAGCCCTACAAAATTCAAGTAACCTGGACCTAGTGAGAGAATGCAAATTCTAAGATCAAGACCAAATATTAATGACAGTAAATAAATAAATATATTGGAGATATGCTTACTATTGTTAAGGAGCAAGACCACTTATCCTGTGGTATATGTGGTCTACTAGTATATATATATATATATATGTGTGCGTGCTCATATAAGTTTTATTGCCTGTACAAGAAACTATTAGTTGTGCTCACCCTATTTCGTTTAAGCTGATAAAGGACTGATAGTTGAATTTCCCAACAATAATATGGGTAAAGATGACTCTTCTATTGAATTTCACATAGCCTTGCTTTCCAAAAAGGTGTTCTCATCTCGGCTGGAGTGGACTGCAGTTTCGACCTCTCATAGGTCTTGTCAACAGCCCCAGAGGGAGTGGAACAATGACAGTGCAGTTTGTAATCTCGAGACACTAACCACTACGTCACATTGCCACAAATATCCTTGGGTCACAGGGAAAATGTGAATTTCAAGGAAGGCCAGGCATTTTTCACATATCACATTATGTGGTGGGATTGTCGATGAAGCAAATTATATTTGCTATAGCAGTCGCTGACATTACTTTTTTTCTTAACATGATTTACTGGTAGACTCGAAAACCTACTCATAAACGAAAAAGATAATGTCGTTAATTGCTATAGCAAATATAAGTTTGCTTCATTGACAATCCCATCACAGAATGGAATATGGGAAAAATGTCTGACCATCCTTGAAAGTCACTTCTGCTCTGATTACACACTCCACTTTCATGGTTCGAATCCCGCTGGCTGTGTTGATAAGACCTAGTCAAGATCGAAACTCCAGTCCCCTTCAGTCTGGGTGAGAACACCTTTTGGGAGAGCAAGACTATTTGAAATTCAATGGAAATGTCAGCTTTATTCATACCATTGTAGGAAAAGTCAACTACCAGTCTTTCATCACCTTAAACGAAATAGAGTGAGCACAACTCATATATATGATCTACTGGTAGTCTATAAAACCTACTCAAAACGAAAAAAACCTAGTAGGCCACCACAGAATGAGTAGTCTGGGTCCCAAACGTTATCGAGCATAGCTCCAATTTAGTCGACAATGCAAAAAAAATATAAGCAAAAATCAAAATAAGGTAATAAAATACATCTTTTATTAAAAAATATTCAAGACACTGATTGTCGTCGATGTGGTAAAGTTTCGACAAACCTTTTTACTAGACTGATTACTAGTCCATCCAGTATGCAGAGAAGCTGCTTGATTTTTGCACTGAGTTTCTATTCGTCATGCATCCTAACATATCCTCCTCTTTCAGAGTGGCCTACAGCTTCGGCCCCGTATAGAGCTCATCAGCAAAACTCTCAAGGCCACAGTCCTAATTCCCTTAGAGACGCTTAGAAAATCAGGTATACGGGAGTCATAATAAGAGTCCAGCCTAAATGAAAAAGGCCTTTTAGAGTGCTGGGAAAAGTGAAGTTCAAAGCAAAACTCAGGCAAACTGTTCATTTCCTTGCGGACAATTTCGCTGTAAGTCTAATAGGAAATCAGTAGAAGAAGGTATACTAAGGCAACCAAGAGGATTAAACGAAGGTATGAAGACCAGGATAGTGTGAACTTTTGTATGGTCGCCGTCTCCTTTCGTGGTAAAGAAGTTGTTGAACCTTGGTTTCGCAACATTCTCGGACGTTTCGCCGGCATCGTAGTCAACATCATCAGTGAGTCTTGCCAGTCTCAGCAACCAAAGCAACCACTATTAAGCAGCCAACCTTTTGCTATCCAATCTTTAGGGCTTCATGGTATAACCTGTATTCTTGAATTAGTCAAGCATGTGAGGTACGCAAACTCAACAAGGATTCATCGCGGTCGTGGGACGGTGCGCCGAGGACTTATTCCGAGGTATAGATTTCGATCTCTGGGCATCTGTCTCACTTATAACTTCCTTTTCATATTGCACCTGTATGCAGATGAGAGATGTATAATCATCTTGATTTAGTGTTAACCTGAGACTTTTATAACAATTAGTCCCAGCTCTGATGATGTCCATCGTATGCTGGACGATAGCTCAGCCAGTTTTCACCAGAAACGAGGGAGGATATCTTGTGGACTGCAGCAAACGGAACTTTGTATTAAAGCCAAATGGCTGTAATAAAACGGGAATCTGTCATCGTCTGCTGGTGAGATCGAGCTACGAAACTCTTCATCACGCACTTT